AGAAAGATTTGTACTAATAGTGTTTAGAAAAGATATCATTTCTGCATCTTGTGCTATGAATAACTACTATGAAGACAATATGCAATGTGTTAATTATTGTAACTGTCCTACTGACCTGTTTTGAAACTGTCTCATTGCTATTTCTTTCTCAATAAAATTAATTTAAAAAATAAAACATTAAAAATTTAAAAAGTCACTATTTCGTCAAGTTCACGGTAATCTTTCTCCAAGACCCGCCCATCTTGTGCCTGGGCCAAATGGAAAACTTAAAGGGAAATGCCAGGGAGCCATCAGCCTTGCATCCTTCAAGTCCTTGATAGTGTTACTGATCTCTGCAGTCCATCCAAGGATGTGATGTCATTTTTGGTTTACTATTTCGCAAGATAAAGGCAGCTCTTGTGGTTTACTTACATTTGGCCTCTCCATCTGAGAATTTCACCAAATAGTAAATGTATGCACCCCAATTACGCATTCTTGAAAAGAGGAAATAATTGCAAGATGGATTTGAGAAACTACAGACACACTGAGTCAGACCATTGATCTTATGAGCTCCACATGACCCTACACCTAGTGCAGGGCTGCAGTGACATCAATAAAGATTGCAAGTTGAAGTCAAGCCTAGAAGACTAAGGGAGGCTATGAACCAAAATAAATTATTGGAAAATTTGAAGATATAGTTCAATGCAGTACTTATCACTGATACAAAAATTAAACAACAAAGGAAGGATGGAAAATAAAATCAGAGGCAGCCTTGTAAAGGGACACCTCAGGTCCCAGGTGCAATTTGTGCATGGTCCTTCAAGTCAGCAGAGCAGCTCTCTTTCCTCACTTTGGGTGGAAGGTGAACAAAAGAAGTGAGAGCAGGGCAGAGTTCTCTGCAGGGCCTATTCTGCCCGCTGATACGAGGCCTCTCAGACCCACTGGGCTCATATTTCCTTCTGTATTCTGATTTTAGTCCTTCCCTTTCTCAGACCTTGTGATATCCCATTGGCCTTCTTTATCTGGCTCACTTCTGTCTTCCATTCTGCTTTAGCTATGGAGGCCAGGAATTGAGGAAAAAAAGTGAGGTTTGGGAAAATTTTTCACTTCATGTATTCCAGATCTTCAATTATGTCTGGGCATGGGGATTCCCAAGATAGCCTTGACTACAGCTGTGGTAGACCCAGGCCAAGCTCTGGTCTATTTCAGTCAATGGGAGCTGGATCTAGAGGGGTGGGGAAACCCTTGAAGGATTTTCCAATTAACAAAGGCTGTGTTTTCTAAAAATCAGCCATGTTGACCTCTGGTAGCATTCCTAATGTCACAAGCTGACAGCAGATAACATTCGATAGCAACAGGTGATGCAGCCAGCTTCTGGACACTGCTGCTTCTAGTCACCAGATCTTGGTAATCTGCTCCTCAAGAATATTTATGGAACTTTCAAGGTACACATTACCTCAGAGATAAATTATGAGTCACTTCACTGAAACATCAAGACCAATTTTCCTGTTAACAGGCCCTGTGCTGCAACACCTGGTGTCAACACTGGACAGCACTCCTACTCTCACCTGAGAAGTGCTGAGAGTGCTTTTATAGAAGATGTGGGCCCATGCCCATGATGGGCAGTGCAGGATCCAGGGAATC